CAAACAACCAACTGGCTGGATTAGGCACAGAATGCCAAGCAGGAACTGCAATGCACCTGCCACAGAGACGATTTCTGGGCAGTAAGAACAAATCCAACTCACAACAAATGGATGGCTCTTTGCTTTCCTTCTGACAGCAGCACTTGAAACACTTCCTCATCACCATGAACACGTAGGCAAAGATGACGAAAGGGAAGGGGATGGTCGGGTGACTGCAGTATTCCTGCACCAGGAAGTAACGCTGGAACTTCCACACCTGGTCGTTGTTCTCTTGCACTGATCCAACCGTGTAACTAATGGGTGAAGAAACAGAAAACACCCCCCAGGATTAGATACTCAGAGAGCCCCATCAGAGCCAGGGAATACAGCATTTCTGTGCTGCACCAGGGCAGGGTTTCACAGAGCCACAGAGTCACGGACTGGTTTGGGTTGGAAGGAACCTTAATCCCTCCCCAGGACACTGCACCAGCTTCCATCAGACTGCTGTGAGAAATGCAGAGCCCGAGGGCTGGCTTCCTGCTGTTTTCCAGGACTCCATTCCCCCTCCCAGAGATACACTGGTCCAGAGATCCCAAGGAAGTGATGGCTCCTTTCTTACGTACCCAAACGTGGCCACGAGCAGGTTCACGAGGAGGATGTTGGTTGAGAGCATGGAAATGCAGACCAGGGGAATGGTGATCCACTCGGGAAAGCGGGGCTGGTTGTTGGCATCCAGCTCCACACACAGGGGCTTGGACTCGTTCCCAGAAAAGGTGCAGCGGTGAAAGTTGTAGGTGGTACCTCAGAGGGGAGAGCAAACTGTGAGTCCTCTCCTCCACTTTCTGCTGGGCTCTGCTCTGACCACAGTTCGTGTGGCCTCCTCCCTCCCTGCCTCCCCATCAGATCTGGAGGCAAAGGGTCAACATACAGGTCAACACAGGCCTGAAGGACAGAGCCTTCCACCCAGCCACCCAGCAGAGATCCCCCCAGGAGGTAATTACCATCCACATCATCAGGGTACTGGCGAAACATGGCCAGGTAGGGCTCGTAGATGACCGATCGGAAGATCCACTCCCAGTGGTGCTCGTTCTTCCTCAGGATGCCTTGCCTGGCCACTCCAAAGGCCACCATCCACACAGCAAAGAGGAAGAGGAAGAAGAAGACGTCTGTCATCTGAAAAAGAACAAGCATCAGTGCCCCAACCGCACGTCTGCTCCAAGCCACGCGTGCTCCCGATTTCACCAACACACATCCACAAACAACTGACCATTCCCACAGCACAACCTCTGTCCCAGTGAGGCCCTCCCTCAGCCAGCCCAGGGAGCTCCAGCACAGCCAGTGCCCAGGGAGAATCGCCCAGCCCGGCCTGTTCTCTCTGACAGAGCTCCTGAGCTGGGAAGATGGGGCTGGGAGTTCCAGGCTGGGCTTGCTTGGGCTTTGCTGGGCTGGGCAAGGGCTGGGAGCTGGGAGCATTGGGGCTGCTCCTCCAGCTCCTGCTCTCACCGTGTTCTCCTCCTTTCCCTTCCCAACCCCACTTGCACCTCCCACGGCACATGGGGTTTACAGACATCCCTGTAACTCCCAGCGGGTTTGTCCCTGTGTTGAGGAATCTGCCCTGAGCCAACCCCTGGGGTCGTCTGCTGGACCTTCATTTGTTTGGTGTCAGAACCCCCGTGCTGAAATTGTCAGTCTGAGTCCCCAAAAGGAGTAAGAATGAAGATTCCTCCCAGACAAAAGGTGCCAGCACAGGAAGCTCTCTGTGTGCATGGATTGCCAAGAGTGGCTCACTGTGATGGTTTTGGTCTAGGCCTTCCTGGTGACCAACTTGCAAACAAGGAAGTGGCCTTGTACCCAGTATTCCATACGATTTTTACGTAAACCAGAGTATAAAAAAGTTGTAGATCAGAGACCTCGCTCTCTTCTCTTCCTGCCAGGTTCAGGGCAGGGGGTCCTTGCGTTGGTCTCGCTTATCCAGAGCCTGAGGCCTTCAGTGACCCCTGGCCTACCACGTGGGAGATTGGAGAGTGCTGGCCCTGTCTGCCAATCCTGCTTTTCTAAGGGACGTGGTGAGATTTGTTTTGCTAGTTATTAGGATAGTTCTTGAGTTTGATTGTGTATATCTGTTTGGTGTCCCTTTTTGTCCACTTTTGTCCCCTTTTCCCCTTTCCCTTTCCCTTCAGGGGGTGTTTGGATTCCCTGTGCTGTGTACATAGCATCTTAACTGTATATAACTGTAATATAATTAAATATATATATATTTATATAATTAGCTTGATTTGGGGTTCTTCAATTTTTTATAGTTTTTTTTTTTTCCTTTGCCCTAAGGGAAGAAAGGAGGGGGAAGGGGGTTGCTACTGTGAGTTTGGGCATTTGGCAGGGAGCCAGGTCTGAACCATCACAACCATAAACCTCATAATGGTGCAGGCCCCATAAAGGCATTGTCCTCATAAAGCCCAACAACCTCATAATGGGGCTTTCATCATAAAAGCTCTGTCTTCATGAAGCCCATACATGTCATAATGGTGCTGTCCTCACAAAGCCCATAAACCTCATCAGGGGCTCCCATGATAAAGATCATGTCATCAAAAACCACATAAACATCATAAAAGCTCTGCCCTCATAAACCCCATAAACGTCATAAAAGTGCAGGCCTCATAAAGACACTGCCCTCATAAAGCCCATAAACCTCATAATGGTGCAAGGCTCATAGAGCCCAAACACCTCATAAAAGAGCTCTCATCATGAAAGCTCTGTCTTTAAAACACCCTTCCATGTCATAATGGTGCTGTCCTCATAAGCCCATAAACCTCATAAGAGGCTCTCCTCATAAAATCTCTCTCCTCATAAACCCCATCCACCTCACAATGGGGCAGCCTCATAAAGGCACTGTCCTCATAACCCTCACACACCTCAGAATGGTGCAGGCCTCATAAAGCCCCTGTCGTCATAAGGCCCAAAAGCCTCCTCATGGGGCTGTCATCATAAAGGAGATGTTCTCATAAATGCCATAAACCTCATAAAGGCTCTGTCCTCATAAAGCCTGTGCACCTCACAGGGGCAAACATCATAAAGGCTCTGTCCTCATAAACACCATAAATGTCATAAAAGCACTGTCCTCATACACCCCATATACACCTCATGACAGAGCTCTCATCATAAAAGATCTCTCTGCATAAAGCCCATGCAGGTCATAAAGGTGCTGTCCTCAGAAAGCTCATACCCCTCATAAGAGGCTCTCCTCATAAAGGCCATGTCCTCAAAAACCCCATAAACGTTGCTGCCTAAAAGGCTGCAGAGGAAAAAGACTCCAGGCCCAACTAGGCAGGGGTCAGAGAAGCAGCAGAGGTTTCCATGAGGCTCCAGGAATACAAACCCACACCCATCCCTTCCAACACAGGGGTTACAGTTTTTATAATGATTCCCACCCAATGCCCGTCCCGTCCCCGCCCCGGTTCTGCCCCGCTCTGCCCCAGGAACGCCCGTGGGGAATTGAGTCTGGGGGAGTTTGGAGCTTTGAGCCGCTGCAACTACAACTCCCGGCGTGCCCCGCGCGGAAAAGGGGGCGGGGCGGGGTCTCTGCCGGCGGTGCGCGCGCACAGCCCCGCGGTGGCTGCCGGGAAAGCGATGGCGGCGACAGCGGGATCTGCTCCGACTCTGTGAGCCCTGGCGGGGGCTGCGGCGGGGCTGGGGATGCGCTCGGGGGCTGCGGGGAGCGCGGCTGTGGGCGGGAAGGCTGGAGGGCTCGGTTGAGTGGAGAGGAGGGGCTCGGGGGTTCCCGAGGAGGTTTTGAGGTCCGTGAGGGGCTGTCGGGGGGTCGCGGAGGGGATTTGGTGTCCTGAGGGCGCTCAGAGGGGAGGGTGAAGGTGCCTGAAGGGGTTTAGGGGGTCCCTGAAAGGGCTGGGGCCTCGGAACCCCCTCAGGAGAGAGGTTTAAACGCCATGGCTGCACTGCGCAGGCGCCGGCGGAGTCCCCATGAGGCGAACTACAACTCCCATAAGGCCTCGCGCGGCGCCGCCATTGCCGCTCGTGCCACAGCACCCCCTGCCGGCTGGGCGAACCGACCGCAGGGAAACCGGGTCCTGATACCCCCCCCGAACCCCAGAGACCCCCAAAACTCAGCACACAGAGACCCCACAGGGAGGGGATCCCGGGGGTCCCCTAAAGCCCAGCAGTGGGTCTCCCAGCCCTCAGGGGAGGGGTCCTGGCAGTGCCATCCAAAGTCTTAGGGAGATGAACCACATGCGGGTAAGGGGATCCCAGTGCCCCCAGTATAGCCCAGTGACCTCCCAGTGGCTCTCAGTATGGCCCAGTAACCCCCCCCAGTGATCACCCAGTGTTTTCCAGTGACCTCCCACTGTCCCCCACTATGGCCCAGTGATCCTCCAGTGAGCACCCAGTAACCCCCAGTATGGCCCAGTAACCTCCCAGTGTCCCCCTGTGTGTCCTGATAATCCCCCACTAATAACCCAGTCCCTTCCAGTGTCCTCCCAGCATCCCTCAAAAACCCCCCAGTTCCTCCCAGTGCCCCCTGGTTCTCCCAGGTGTGTCCCAGTATCTCCCAGTAATCACCCAGTGTCCCCAAAAGCCCCTCAAGTGTCCCCAGTGTGTCCCCAGATGCCCTTGACCTTTCTGAGAGTTTGGGGGGTGGTGCCACTTTGGGGGTCAGAGGGTCCAGGGGGGCCTTCTGGGGGAGGTGGAGGGTTGGGGACATCAGGGATGGGGTTTGGGGACAGTGGGGAGGGGTTTGGGGACAGTGGAATGGGTGGTGTCAAGGGGAGAATTGGGGCCATGGGGAGGCCCTGGGGACACTGGAGACACCAGTGGGGTCTCGGGGTGCCAAGTGGGAAATTGAGGACAGCAGGAGGGTTTTGGGGACACCAGGGGGGTCTCAGGACTCACCTGCTTGTGGAGCTGCCCCTTATCTCCCCCCCAGGCCCCAATAAGGCCCCCCAATGTCCCCTAACCCCCATTTTTCCTTTAAACACCTCCCCCCCCAGATCCCTTTTAACCCCCAATGCTCCCAAGACCCCTTTTAACTCGCCCAAATGCACCCAGAGGTTTCTAAAACACCCCAAATCCCAAAGAAACCCCTGGCAAAGAGGGATCCCCTTGCACCCTGGGACAGGAACACAGTGGGCTGTGCTGGGGGCACTGGGCTGTACTGGGAGGGCACTGAGGGGTCACTGGGCTGTACTGGGAGAGCCCTCATCCCCAAAGCCCCTCCCCTGGGCATCCGTGCCACGGTCTGGGAACCACGGCGGGGTTGGATCAAGGGGTGCACTTGATGATCTGGGAGGTCTTTTCCAAGCCGGCTGATCCTGGGATTCTCTGGGTGCCATTGCCAGGGCAGCACATGCTGGAGGCTCTGTCCACAGGGGATAGATGTGTCTGTGCAGACAGAGAGACAAGGGCAGTCTGCAAAGATGTGGGGTTAGAAAAGCAGGAGAAGTTGTGGGGTGGTTGTGGAAGGAGAAAGAAGCCTCCAGGCCAGTGCAAGCAGGCCCCCCTGGGCTTGCACATCATCTGCCCTCCCTGCAGGTTCCTGTGCTGGAGAGCAGGCCCTGAGGTGTCCCTGAGCAATGGCCCGGAGGTGAGCCCAGAGCTGGTCCCTGAGGTGGCCCTGAGAAGAAGTGGAAGGCAGAGGTGGTGCTGAGGCAGGAGAGCCCCGTGCTGGGGAAGAGGCTGAGCTGGGAGTGCCCAGCAGCGAGAAGGTGCTAGTGTCCATGCCCTGTGTGCCAGGTGAGCTGGGGCTTTGCTGCAGAGCTGCGGGCGCTGATTGGAGCGGCTGCAGCTGCTGAGCTGGTGGCCCCCAGGAACACAAAGTGTGCCCGGCCACGGAGCCTGCAGGGAGGAGCAGGGACAGGGTCAGGACCACTGTCAGCCCGGGGCTGGCTGGGCAGACACAGCAGGTTTGGGGTCCCCCTGGGAGCTGCCGAGGGTGGAGGGCGGAGCGGGCGATGGCGGAGCTGGGGGACCCCCGGCAGGCTGGAGGGGGGAGCACGGAGAGGGAGGAGCCCCGGGACCCCCGGGAGCCTGAAATGGGGGGAGCAGAGAAGGGGAAGCCTGGAGAGTGGGGACCCCTGGGATCCCAGGACAACAAGGTGGAGAACCTGGAGAGGGGGAATGTCTGGGAAGGTGGCACCCCGAAGGTCAGAAGAGAAGGGACCCTTGGGAACCCCAACACTCCCAGCATCCCTAAGTGGGACCCCCAACATTCCAGAGAGAGGAGACCCTCCAAACCCCAGAGGGGAGAGACCAGACAGGGGGAACTCCTGGGAGAGTACTTTTGGGCTGAATCTTCATATTTTGGCTGAACCTTAAATTTTTCCATTGTGATGGAGGGGTGTCAATCTTGCTGTTTTTGAGGCAGTTTATTTCCTGAATGTCAGCGGATTGGGTTTTTCTGGGCTGAATTTTGGTGTTTTGGAGTTTTTTATGCTCCCAGGATGCTGGGTGAGTTCCAGAGATGGATTTGGGCAGGAGGAACCCCCAAGGCAACGCGCTCAGCCCTTGTTTTCCCCCAGCAGGATTTGTCCTTCCCAAAGCTTGGGCAGATGGAGGAGAAGGCTGCGAAGAAGACGAAAAAGCCACGGGTCCCCCAGGCAGGTGAGGAGGAAGTCAGTGCCCCTTTGACCCTGTCTTGTGGTGCCTGTGGGGACCAGATTTGGGGGATGTCCTTGGCCTTCCCTCTGGGCTGGAGGCAAATCCCCTGCCTGTCCTTCTTCCTTCCTGCCCCAGGCCCCGAGCTGAGGACGGAGAGCACGGAGGACAAATCCCCCCAGCAGAGCCTGCTGGGAGAGGCCGTTTTGAAGGGCTCCCTGGCGCAGGAAGGCAGCGGGGAGGAAAAGGCCCGGAGATGCCCCCGGAGGAGGGGCTGCAAAGCCAGCCCAGGGAGCTGTGAGGAGGAAAGACCCGTCCAGTGCCGGAAAGGCGGCCGGAGCTTGAGCCGGAGCTCCGAGCTGGTGGTCCCTGAGCAGCCTCCCAGCAGGGAGAAGCCCTTCAGGTGCTTGGAATGTGGGAAGAGCTTCAGGAAGAGCTCCGACCTCCTCACCCACCAGCACATCCACACTGGGGAACGGCCCTACACGTGCAGGGAATATGGGAAGAGCTTCAGGAGACACTCCAACCTGATTCAACACCAGCACATCCACACTGGGGAACGACCCTACACATGTAGGGAATGTGGGAAGAGCTTTAGGGACAGCTCCGATTTGATCCGACACCAGCACATCCACACTGGGGAACGGCCCTACATGTGTAGGGAATGTGGGAAGAGCTTCAGGACCAGCTCCAACCTCTGCAGCCACCAGCTCATCCACACTGGGGAACGGCCCTACAAATGCTTGGAATGTGGGAAGAGGTTTCAGCGCAGCTCACATCTCCTCAGGCATGAGCAGACACACACAGGGGAGAGGCCCTTCCGCTGCACCGACTGCAGGAAGAGCTTCAACCGGAACTCCCACCTCATCACCCACCGGCGCATCCACACTGGGGAGAGGCCCTACAAGTGTGGGGAGTGTGGGAAGAGCTTCAGCGACAGCTCTGCCTTGAACAAACACCAACGGACCCACCGGTAAGGGAAGCCCTGCGAACCCCAAATGCGGGAAGAGCTTTGGGCACTGCTCCCACCCCGAATGACCCCCTTGATGGTGAGGCAACCCCTGGAGTCCAGTGACTGTCAGTCCATCCCTTTCCACCAGAAAGGGCCAGTCCCCTTTCCCAGGGGCAGGTTGTGCCAACAGAACCCTTCCTGGGGGGTGTGTGGAGTTTCCTGCCTTGACTGGGACCCCCCAAGGTCACTGCTGGAGGTTGAGAGCAGAGATCTCCCCCCGAGCGTTGGTCTGGGGGAGTTCCATCCATCTCTAATGAATAATTCTTGCTTTGGTGCCAGCTTGAGTAGAATTGCTTCAACAATTGCTTTAGTGTAGAGCAGTGTCCTATCTTATGCTGTAGTAGTGGTAGTTTTAGTTTTTCTATTGTGCAGTAAATAATTCTGATGAAGATCTTTTGTCTGATCATTTGTAACCCTAAATAATTCATTTCTATCAATAGATCTGATTTGCCATCCTTAAAACCTGGGGGACAAAAGTGGTTCAGTCCCCCTCTGTAATTCCTCTCAGCTGAAAGTGTTGGCATAACCCAAGGCTGAGATTGGATCCAGCAGCCCCAGCACCCCACAGTCAGTTGGGAGCTCAGATGGGCGCCCCCCTTTCCCAGCCTTCTGTGCCCAAAGACCCCCATGGGACTGTTGGACCTGTGAGACCACCTCCCAGTCCCCCTCAGTCCTTCCCAGTACCGTCCCAGTTCCCCACAGTGATCCCAGTCCATCCCAGTGCTCCCAGTTTCTCCCATTCCCTCCCTGTGCCCCCCGTGACCCTCTCGAACCCTGGTGTGACCCTTTGGGTGGGTCCCGCCACCTTGTGTGATGCCATTGCCCTTTTAAGAGACCCGTTGCCCTTTGAAGAAAATCATCGCCCTTTTAAGAGAACCATTTACCCCTTTAAGAGAGTCATTGCCCTTTTAAGAGAACCATTGCCCTTTTAAGAGAACCGTTGCCCTTTTAAACAAAAAAATTGCCCTTTTAAGAGAGCCATTTCCCCTCTGAGTCCCTCCCAGTTCCCCCCAGTACCCTCCCAGTCCCTCCCAGTGCCCTCCCACTGTCATCCCAGTTCCCCCCAGTGCCTCCCAGTCTCTCCCAGTCCCTCCCAGTCCTTCCAGTCCATCTCAGTGCTCCTAGTACCCCCAGTGCCTCCCACTCCCTCCCAGTACCCTTCCAGTCTCTCCCAGTTCCCCCCACTGCCTCCCAGTCCCTTCCAGTACTCCCAGTTGCTCCCAGTGGTCCCAGTGCCCTCCCAGTCCCTCCCAGTCCCCCCCCAGTGCCTTCCCATTCTCTCCCAGTGCCCTCAGTGCCCTCCCAGTCTCTCCCAGTCCCTTCCAGTCCCCTCAGTGCTGCAGTCCCTCCCAGTGCCCTCCCAGTGCCCCCAGTCCCTCCCAGTGCTCCCAGTCCCTCCCAGTACCGCCTGTGACCCCCTAAACTCCCTTGGGACCCCCAAACCCCTTTTAAAAGAACCGTTGCCCTTTTAAGAGAGCCATTGCCCTTTTAAGAGCACCATTGCCCTTTTAAGAGCCCCATTGCCCTTTTAAGAGACCCAGCCCACATTTAAGTCCTCCCAGTGTTCCCAGTCCTTCCCAGTACCATCCCAGTGCCCTCCCACTGCTCCCAGTCCCTCCCAGTGCCCCCCCAGGGCTCCAGTCCCTCCAAGTGCCCTCCCAGTATCTCCCAGTCTCCCCCAGTCCCTCCCAGTTCCCCCAGTCCCACCCAGTGCTCCCAGAGCCCTCAGTGCCCTTCCAGTGCTCCCAGTTCCCCCCAGTCTTTCCCAGTGCCCTCCCAGTCTCTCCTAGTCCCTCCCAGTGCCCCCAGTGCCCTCAGTGCCCTCCCAGTGCTCCCAGTTTCTCCCAGTGTCCCCAGTGCCTCCCAGTCTCCCCAGTCCCTCCCAGTAACCCCAGTACCCTCCCAGTGCCCTCCCAGTCCCTCCCAGTGCTCCCAGTGCCCTCAGTGCCCTTCCAGTGCTCCCAGTCCCTCCCAGTTCCCCCCATCTTTCCCAGTGCCCTCCCAGTCTCTCCCAGTCCCTCCCAATCTCTCCCAGTGCCTTCCCATTGGCTTTCCAGTACCTGCAAGTGCTCCCAGTGTCATCCCAGTGCTCCCAGTGCCCTCCCAGTGCTCCCAGTCCCTCCCTGTGTCATCCCAGTCCCTCCCAGTCTCCCCCAGTCCCTCCCAGTTCATCCCAGTGCCCTCCCAGTCTCTCTCAGTAACCCCAGTCCCTCCCAGTTCATCCCAGTGCCCTCCCAGTCTCTCTCAGTAACCCCAGTCCCTCCCAGTTCATCCCAGTGTCCTCCCAGTCTCTCTCAGTAACCCCAGTCCCTCCCAGTTCATCCCAGTGTCCTCCCAGTCTCTCTCAGTAACCCCAGTCCCTCCCAGTGCCCCCCTGGTGTCCCCAGTTCCCCCAGTGCCTTCCCACTCTCTTCCAGTCACTCCAGTGTCTCCCAGTCCCTCCCAGTGCTCCCAGTTGCTCCCAGTGGTCCCAGTGCCCTCGGTGCCCTCCCAGTCCCTACCAGTGCCTCCCAGTCCCTCCTAGACCCTCCCAGTCCCTTCCAGTACCATCCCAGTCCCCTCAGTCCCTCCCAGTCCCTCCCAGTGCTCCCAGTGTCCCCAGCTCTCCCCAGTCCCTCCCAGTCCCTCCCAGTCCCTCCCAGTGCCTTCCCAGTCCCTCCCAAATGACCCCAAAATGTCCCAAAATGACCCCAGAATGACCCAAAATGTCCCAAAATGAGGCCAAAGTGACAACAAAGACCCCAAAACGACCCCAAAGTGACCCAAAAATGACCCCAAATGACCCAAAACAACCCCAAAATGACCCCAAAATGACAAAAAATAACCCAAAATGACCCCAAAGTGACAAAAAAGACCCCAAACGACCCCAAAGTGTCAGGAAAGACCCCAAAAGTGACCCCACAATGACCCCAAAATGTCCCAAATGACCCCAAAGTGACCCAAAATGACAAAAAGGACCCCAAACGACCCCAAAGTGACAATAAAGACCCCAAAAGTGACAAAAAAGCCCCCAAAATGACCAAAAATGACCCCAAATGACCAAAAAACGACCCCAAAGGATCCCAAAATAAAAAAGAGCCCAAAATGTCCCCAAATGACCCCAAATTGACCCCAAAGAGACAAAAAAGACCCCAAAAATTATCCCAAAAACGACCCCAAAATGACCCCAAAGTGACCAAAAATACCCCAAAAGTGACAAAAATGACCCCAAGTGACCAAAAAATGACCCCAAAAGTGACATAAAAGACCCCAAAATGACCCCAAAAGTAACAATAAAGATCCCAAAATGACCCCAAATGACACCAAAGTGACCAAAAAAATGCCCCAAAATGACAATAAAGATCCCAAAATGACCCCAAAGTGACCCAAAAATGACCCCAAAATGACAAAAAAATAACCCAAAATGACCCCAAAATGACCCAAAACGGCCCCAAAGTGACCCAAAACGACCCCAAAGTGACCCAAAATGACAATAAAGCCCCCAAAAGTGACAAAAAAGCCCCCAAAATGACCCCAAGTGACCCCAAAGTGACACAAAAAAGCCCCCAAAATGACCCCAAAAGACCCTAAACTGACACCAAAAATGACCCAAAATAACAATAGACCCCAAAGTGACCCCAAAAAGATGCCAAAATGACCCCAAATGACCCCAAAGTGACAAAAAAGACCCCAAAAATAACAATAAAGACCCCATAATGACACAAAAATGACCCAAAATGACAATAAAGACCCCAAAACTGACAAAAATGACCCAAAAATGACCCAAAAACCCCCAAATGACCCCCAAATGACCCCAAAGTGACAAAAGACCCCAAAGTGACCCAAAAATCACCCAAAGTGACCCAAAAACGACCTCAAAATGACCCAAAACGACCCCAAAATGACAATAAAGACCCCAAAAGTGACAAAAAAGCCCCCAAAATGACCCTAAATGACCCCAAATTGACCCAAATGACCCAAAATGACCCCAAAATGACCCTAAATGACCCAAAAATGACCCCAAAATGTCCCAAAATGACCCTAAATGACCCCAAATTGACCCAAAAATGACCCCAAAATGTCCCAAATGACCCAAAATGACCCCAAAATGACCCTAAAATGACCCCAAATGACAAAAAAATGACCCAAAATGACCCCAAAATGACCCAAATTGACTCTTTTTGTGGCTTTTCCATCCCGGGTTTTTTTTTAATTTCATTTTATTTCATTTTATTTCATTTCATTTTATTTTATTTCATTTTATTTCATTTTATTTCTTTTTCTTTTCTCGGGCTGGGCCCCCGGGGGCGACTTTTCAATATGAAAAACCAAAGAGAGGGGCAGGAAAAGCACCAGGAACCAGCAGAAAAATGGGGGAAATGGGCAAAAATGGGGAAAAATGACCAAAAATGGGGGGAAATGAAAAAAATGGGGAAAAAATGAGAAAAAATGGGGGAAAATGAGAAAAAATGAGGGGAAAACGACCAAAAATGGGGTAAAATGAGAAAAAATGGGGGAGAAATGACAAAAAATGGGGGAAAAATGGGGAAAAAATGATAAAAAATGGGGAAAAAATGACCAAAAATGGGGAAAAAATGAGAAAAAATGGGAAAAAAATGACCAAAAATGGGAAAAAAATGAGAAAAAATGGGGAAAAAATGACCAAAGAGGGGGGAGAAATGGGAAAAAATGGGGGAAAATGAGAAAAAAATGACAAAAAATTAGGGGGAAATGACATCAAATGGGGAAAAAATGATGAAAAATGGGGGGAAAATGAGAAAAAATGGGAAGAAATGGGGAAAAAATGATGAAAAATGGTGAAAAAATGACCCAAAATGGGGAAAAAATGAGAAAAAATGAGAAAAAATGGGGAAAAATGAGAAAAAATGGGGGAAAAATGAACAAAAATGGGGGAAAAATGACAAAAAATGGGAAAAAATGACAAAAAATGGGGGGAAAATGAACAAAAATGGGGAAAAAAGGGCAAAAAATGGGGAAAAAAGGACCAAAAATGGAAAAAAATGATGAAAAATGGGAAAAAAATGACAAAAAATAGGGGGAAATGACAAAAAATTGGGGAAAAAAATGACAAAAAATCGGAAAAAAACCACCAAAAATGGGGGGAAATGGAAAAAAAATGGGGAAAAATGACAAAAAAAGGGGGAAAAAAGATCAAAAATGGGAAAAAAGTGAATAAAAAGGAGGCAAAGATGAAGAAAGTGAGGGGGAAATGATCCAAAAAAGGAGGGGAAAGTGTAAAAAATGGGGAAAATGGAGCAAAATTGGGAGAAATGGAGGAAAAAGGGGCAAAAAATGGGGGATATGATGGAAAAAATGAAGGAAAAATGAACAAAAAATGGACAAAAATTGGGGAAAATGAAGCAGAAATGGGGAAAGTTGAACTAAAAATGGACCAAATGAATAAAAAAATGGACAAAAATGGGGAAAATTGAACTAAAAATGGGGAAAATGGACCCAAAATGGGGGTGGGGTGGAGGGTGGGGGAGGGGCCTCGGTGACAGCGAAGGGGGAGGGGCAGGGGGAGGGGCAGGGGATGAAGGTCCAGGAGGAGGAAGATGATGATGATGATGAAGGTCCAGGGGCTCTCCATGATGAAGATGAAGGTCCAGGGGCTCTCCTGATAAAGGTCCAGGATGAGGATGAGGATGATGATGATGAAGGTCCAGGGGCTCTCCATGAGGATGATGAAGGTCCAGGATGAGGATGATGAAGGTCCAGGAGGAGGATGATGAAGGTCCAGGATGAGGATGATGAAGGTCCAGGGGCTCTCCTGATGATGACGAAGGTCCAGGATGAGGATGATGAAGGTCCAGGGCTCTCCAAGGAGGATGATGAGGATGATGAAGGTCCAGGATGAGGATGATGAAGGTCCAGGGCTCTCCTGATGATGATGATGAAGGTCCAGGGGCTCTCCATGAGGATGATGAAGGTCCAGGAGGAGGAAGATGAAGGTCCAGGAGGAGGAGGATGAAGGTCCAGGGCTCTCCATGAGGATGATGAAGGTCCAGGAGGAGGATGATGAAGGTTCAGGAGGAGGAGGATGAAGGTCCAGGGCTCTCCAAGGAGGATGATGATGATGATGAAGATCCAGGAGCTCTCCATGAGGATGATGAAGGTCCAGGGCTCTCCTGATGAAGGTCCAGAGCTCTCCAAGGATGATGATGATGATGATGATGATGATGAAGGTCCAGGGGCTCTCCTGATGAAGCTCCAATGCTCTCCAAAGAGAAGGATGATGATGATGATGATGATGATGATGATGAAGGCCAAGGACTCTCCTCGAAGCTCTCCAAGGTGGGAGGAAGAAACCCAAGAGGATGAGGATGATGAGGATGATGAGGATGAAGGCTGGGGACTCTCCATTGACTTTGGGGACTCTTCATTGACTTTGGGGACCCTCCATTGACTTTGGGGACTCTCCATTGACTTTGGGGACTCTCCATTGACCATGGCCAAGAGTTGGGGACTCTCCATTGACTTTGGGGACCCTCCAATGACTTTGGGGACTCTCCATTGACTTTGGGGACTCTCCATTGACCATGGTGAATGTTGGGGACTCTCCATTGACCATGGCCAAGCTTGGGGACTCTCCAATGGCTCCAATGACCATGGTGAACGTTGGGGACTCTCCATTGACCACAGGGACTCTTCAATGACTCCAATGACCACCATGAACGTTGGGGACTCTCCACTGACCATGATGAACGTTGGAGACTCTCCAGTAATGGTTGGGGACTCTTCATTGACCATGGCCAAGGTTGGGGACTCTCCAATGACTGTGAGGACTCTTCATTGACCACGATGAACATTGAGGACTCTCCAATGGTTCCACTGACCATGATGAACGTTGGGGACTCTCCAATGACTCCACTGATCATGATGAACGTTGGGGACTCTCCAATGACCATGATGAACGCTGGGGACTCTCCATTGACTGTGGGGACTCTCCAATGACCATGATGAACGTTGGGGACTCTTCATTGATCATGATGAACGTTGGGGACTCTCCAATGACCACGATGAACATTGGGAACTCTTCATTGATCATGGTGAGCGTTGAGAACTCTTCATTGACCACGATGAACACTGGGGACTCTTCATTGACCGTGGGGACTCTCCAATGACTCCAATGACCATGATGAACGATGAGGACTCTTCATTGACCGTGGGGACTCTCCAGTGACTCCACTGCCCACAGCAAACGCTGGGGACTCTCCAAGGACCACACCGAAGCTCAGGGACCCTCCAGGGCGCCAACAAAACCGAGGGGGACGACGATGATGACGACAACAACGACGGGCGAGGACTCCGCTGCCACCGAGGACGACGACGACGACGACACCGAGGGCTCTCCGGTGCCACACACACAGGGCAGGGGAGGGAAAGGAAGGGGGAAGAAGAGGACACCAAAACTCCCTCCCTCACGCCTCCTCCTCGGCCTCCTCGCCGAAATCCTCCTCCTCCTCGGCCGTGGCGTCCTGGTACTGCTGGTACTCGGACACCAGGTCGTTCATGTTGCTCTCGGCCTCGGTGAACTCCATCTCGTCCATGCCCTCGCCCGTGTACCAGTGCAGGAAGGCCTTCCTGCGGAACATGGCCGTGAACTGCTCCGAGATCCTCTTGAAGAGCTCCTGGATGGCGGTGGAGTTGCCGATGAAGGTGACGGCCATCTTCAGCCCCCGGGGGGGGATGTCGCACACGGCCGTCTTGACGTTGTTGGGGATCCACTCCACGAAGTAGGAGCTGTTCTTGTTCTGCACGTTGAGCATCTGCTCGTCCACCTCCTTCATGGACATGCGGCCCCGGAAGACGGCGGCCACCGTCAGGTAGCGGCCGTGCCGGGGGTCGCAGGCGGCCATCATGTTCTTGGCGTCGAACACCTGCTGGGTGAGCTCGGGCACGGTGAGGGCGCGGTACTGCTGGCTGCCCCGGCTGGTCAGCGGGGCGAACCCGGGCATGAAGAAGTGCAGGCGGGGGAAGGGCACCATGTTGACGGCCAGCTTGCGCAGGTCGGCGTTGAGCTGGCCCGGGAAGCGCAGGCAGGTGGTGACGCCGCTCATGGTGGCCGACACCAGGTGGTTGAGGTCGCCGTAGGTGGGCGTGGTCAGCTTGAGGGTGCGGAAGCAGATGTCGTAGAGCGCCTCGTTGTCGATGCAGTACGTCTCGTCGGTGTTCTCCACCAGCTGGTGCACCGACAGCGTGGCGTTGTAGGGCTCCACCACCGTGTCCGACACCTTGGGGGACGGCACCACCGAGAAGGTGTTCATGATGCGGTCGGGGTACTCCTCGCGGATCTTGGAGATCAGCAGGGTGCCCATGCCCGAGCCGGTGCCGCCGCCCAGCGAGTGGGTGAGCTGGAAGCCCTGCAGGCAGTCGCAGCTCTCGGCCTCCTTGCGCACCACGTCCAGCACCGAGTCCACCAGCTCGGCGCCCTCCGTGTAGTGCCCCTTGGCCCAGTTGTTGCCGGCGCCGCTCTGGCCTGGGGGGGCGAAAAAAAAGGGGGGGAGGGGTCAGTGGAGGGGTTGGAGTGGATTTGGGGACCTTCAAACTGAGCTTGAGGACCTTTAAGGGAACTTTGGAGACCTTCAAAGTAACCTTGGGGATCTTCAAAGCACCTTTGGGGAGCTTTAAACCAACCTTGGGAACCTTTAAACCAACTTTAGGGACTTTCAAACTGAGCTTGAGGACCTTTAAAGAAACTTTGGGGACCTTCAAACCAACCTTGGGAACATTTAAACCAACTTTGGAGACCTTCAAACCAACCTTGAGGACCTTTAAACCAACTTTGGGCACCTTCAAAGTAACTTTGGGGACCTTCAAACCAACCTTGAGGACCTTCAAGACATCTTTGGGGACCTTTAAAGCAACCTTGGGGACCTTCAAACTGAGCTTGGAGATCTTCAAAGTGACCGTGGGGAGCTTCAAACCAACCTTGGGGACCTTTAAACCAATCTTGGGGACCTTCAAACTGAGCTTGAAAAGCTTCAAACCAACCTTGGGGACCTTTAAACCAACTTTGGGGACCTTCAAAGCATCTTTAGAGACCTTTAAACCAACCTTGGGGACCTTCAAAACAACCTTGGGGGCCTTCAAAGCAACCTTGGGGACCTTCAAACTGAGCTTGAAAAGCTTCAAACCAACCTTGGGGACCTTTAAACAAACTTTGGGGACCTTCAAAGCACCTTTGGGGACCTTTAAGGCACCTTTGAGGACCTTCAAACTGAGCTTGAGGAGCTTCAAACCAACCTTGAGGACATTTAAACCAATCTTGGGGACCTTCAAACTGAGCTTGGGGAGCTTTAAAGCAACTTTGGGGACCTTCAAGGCACCTTTGAGGACCTTCAAACTGAGCTTGGGGACCTTTAAACCAACTTTATGGACCTTCAAACCAACTCTGGGGACCTTTAAACCAACTTTAGGGACCTTCAAAGCAACTTTGGGGACCTCCAAGGCCCCCTCCGTGTAGTGCCCCTTGGCCCAGTTGTTGCCGGCGCCGCTTTGGCCTGGGGGGTCAAAAAAGGGGGTCAGTGGGGTCTGGGGAGGGTTGGAGTGGATTTGGGGGGCTTCAAACCAAATTTGGGCACCTTTGGGGACCTTCAAACTGAACTTGGAGATCTTCAAAGCAACTTTGAGGACCTTTAAGGAAACTTTGGGGACCTTTAAACCAACCTTGGGGACCTTCAAGGCAACTTTGGGGACCTTCAAAGCAACTCTGGAGACCTTTAAATTGACCTTGGGGACCTTCAAAGCATCTTTGGGGACCTTTAAATTGACCTTGGGGACCTTCAAAGCATCTTTGGGGACCTTCAAACTGAGCTTGGGGACCTTCAAAGCATCTTTAGAGACCTCTAAAGCACCTTTGGGGACCTTCAAACCAACCTCGGGGAGCTTCAAACTGAGCTTGAAGATCTTTAAACCAACTTTGGGGACCTTCAAACCAATTTTGAGGACCTTAAAAGCAGCTTTGGGGATCTTCAAATCAACCTTGGGGACCTTCAAACCAACCTTGGGGACCTTTAAGGCATCTTTGAGGACCTTCAAATTGAGCTTGAGGAGCTTTAAAATGACCTTGGGGAGCTTTAAAGCAACCTTGGGACTTTCAAACTGAGCTTGAGGACCTCTAAGAAAACTTTGGGGACATTTAAACCAACTTTGGGGACCTTCAAAGCAACCTTGGGGATCTTTAAACCAACCTTGGGAACCTTCAAGGCACCTCTGGGGACCTTCAAATGGAGCTTGGAGACCTTTAAACCAACTCTGGGGATCTTTAAACCAATTTTGGGGACCTTCAAAACAACTTTGGGGACCTTCAAGGCATTTGTGGGGACCTTTAAACGAATCTTGGGACCCTTCAAAGTGAGCTTGGGGACCTTCAAACCAACTTTGGGGACCTTCAAGGCATCTTTGGGGACCTTCAAACCAATCCTGGAGACCTTTAAAATGACCTTGGGGACCTTCAAACCAACCTTGGGGACCCTCAAAACATCTTTGAGGACCTTCAAACTGAGCTTGGGGAGCTTCAAACCAACTTTGGGGACCTTCAAAACACCTTTAGGGACCTTCAAAGCCCCCTTTGGAGACCCCAAACCCCCCTTGATGACCCCAAACCCCCCTTTTGGTGACCCCAAACCCCTCCTTGGTGACCCCAAACCACCTTTGGTGACCCCAAACCCCCCCTTGGTGACCTCAAACCCCCTTTTGGTGACCCAGATGCCACCACAGAGACCACCAAAGGTGCCAAAGGTGCCACCAGAGATGCCATAAATGACCCAGGGGCCACCAGAGGTGTCCCAGATACCCCCAGAGATACCAGAGGTGCCCCCAGAGGTGCCTGAGATGCCCCCAGAGGTGCCCCAGATGCCCCCAGAGGTGCCTGAGATGCCCCCAGAGGTGCCCCAGTTGCCCCCAGAGGTGCCAGAGATGCCCCCAGAGGTGCCCCAGATGCCCCCAGAGATGCCCCAGGTGCCCCCAGAGGTGCCTGAGATGCCCCCAGAGGTGCCCCAGGTGCCCCCAGAGGTGCCTGAGATGCCCACAGAGGTGCCCCAGGTACCCCCAGAGGTGCCCCAGTTGCCCCCAGAGGTGCCCCAGATACCCCCAGAGGTGCCAAAAGTGCCCCAGGTACCCCCAGAGGTGCCCCAGGTACCCCCAGAGGTGCCCCAGGTGCCCCCAGAGGTGCCCCAGATGCCCCCAGAGGTGCCCCAGGTGCCCCCAAAGGTGCCCCAGGTACCCCCAGAGGTGCCTGAGATGCCCGCAAAGGTGCCCCAGGTGCCCCCAGAAGTGCCCCAGGTGCCACTAAAGGTGCCAAAGGTGACTCAGATGCCACCAGAGGTGCCATAAATGACCCAAGTACCACCACAGAGGCCACCAGAACTGCCAAAAGTGCCACCAAAAATGACACCAGAGGTGACTCAGATGCCCCCAGAGATGACTCAAATGCCCCCAGAGGTGCCCCAGCTGCCCCCAGAGGTGCCAGAGGTGCCCCAGGTGCCCCCAGAGGTGCCAGAGGTGCCCCAGGTGCCCCCAGAGGTGCCATAAATGCCCCAGCTGCCCCCAGAGGTGCCCCAGGTGCCCCCAGAGGTGCCCCAGGTGCCCCCAGAAGTACCCCAGGTGCCACTAAAGGTGCCAAAGGTGACTCAGATGCCACCAGAGGTGCCATAAATGACCCAAGTACCACCACAGAGGCCACCAGAACTGCCAAAAGTGCCACCAAAAATGACACCAGAGGTGCCCCAGGTGCCCCCAGAGGTACCAGAGGTGCCCCCAGAGGTGCCCACGCCCCCCCAGACCCCGCACTGACCGAAGACGAAGTTGTCTGGCCGGAAGATCTGTCCGAAGGGGCCGGAGCGAACCGAGTCCATCGTCCCCGGCTCCAGATCCACCAGGATGGCCCTGGGCACGTATTTACCACCTGGGGGAGCAGGGCAAGAGTCAGCAAGGGTGGCACCACATGGCCTTGGTGCTCAGATACAAAATCCAGCCCAAAATCGGCAACAAAATGTGCAAATCTACCCCAAAATCAGCCAAATCCACCCCAAAACAATCCAAATCCACCCCAAAATCAGCCAAAAACCCCACCCTAAAATCAGCCCAAGATCAGCCAAATCTACCCCACAAACCCACCCCAAAATAAGCCCCAAAATGCACAAATCCATCCCACAAACCCACTCCAAAAACTCACCCCAAAATCACCCAAGATTCACCCAAAATTACCCTGAAGACCCAGCCCAAAATCAGCCCAAAAACCCAGCCCGAAATCCACCCCAAAATCACTCTAAAATTACCCAAATCCACCCCAAAATCACCCAAATCCACCTCAAAATCGACCCCAAACCACCCCAAAATCCCCACCCGAAAATCAGCCGAAAATCAGCCAAATCCACCCCAAAATCACCCCAAAACCCCAGCCCAAAATAAGCCCAAAATCACCCAAATCTACTCCCCAAAATTACCCCAATATCAGCCCAAAATCACCCTAAAGTCACCCAAATGCACCCCAAAATCACCCAAAAACCCTACCCTAAAATCAACCAAAACCACCCCAAAATCACCCAAAAACCCCACCCTAAAATCAGCCCCAAAATCATCCCAAAGTCACCGCAAAATCACCCAAAATCATCCCAAATACATCCCAAAATCACTGCCAAAATGAACAAGTCCCCCCAAAATCACCCAAATCTACCCCAAAATCAGCCAAATCCACCCCAAAATCAGCCCAAAATCAGCCCCAAAATCACCCAAATCCACCCTAAAATTACCCAAATCCACCCCAAAATCAGCCCCAAAATGCACAAATCAGCCCCAAAATCAGTACAAAACCACCCTAATCACCCCTAAATCAGCCCAAATCCACCCCAAAATCACCCAAATCCACCCCAAAATAAGCCCAAAATCACCCAAATCTACTCCCCAAAATTACCCCAAAATCAGCCCAAATCCACCCCAAAATCACCCCTAAATCAGCCCCCAAACACCCCAAAATCAGCCCAAAATCAGCCCCAAAATGCGCAAATCCACCCCAAAATCAGCCCAAATCTACCCCAAAATCAGCCCAAATCCACCCCAAAATCAGCCCTAAAATCACCCAAATCCACCCCAAAATCAGCCCCAAAATGCACAAATCCACCCCAAAATCACCCAAATCCACCCCAAAATCAGCCCCAAAATGCACAAATCCACCCCAAAACCAACCAAATCCACACCAAAATTAGCCCCAAAATCACCCAAAAACCCACCCTAAAATCAGCCCAAGATCAACCAAATCTACCCCACAAACCCACCCCAAAATCAGCCCAAAATCACTCAAATCCACCCCAAAACCCCACACCAAAACCAAGCCCAAAATTATCCCAAGATCACCCAAATCCGCTCTCCAAAATCACCCAAAAAAAACCCATCCCAAAATCACCCAAGATTCACCCAAAATTACCCCAAAGACCCAGCCCAAAATCAGCCAAATCCACCCCAAAATCAGCCCCAAAAACCCAGCGCAAAATCAGCCCAAAAAGGCACAAATCCACCCCAAAATCAGCCCAAAATCAACCAAAATCACCCTAAAATCAGCCAAATCCACCCCAAAATCAGCCCAAAATCATCCAAATCCACCCCAAAATCAGCCCAAAATGCACAAATCCACCCCAAAATCAGCCCAAAAACCCACAAAAAACCCCACCCAAAATCAGCCCAAAATCAGCCAAAACCCAACGCAAATCACCCCAAATCACCTCAAAATCAACCCAAATCATCCCAAAACCGCCCCAAAATCCCCCAATCCACCCCAAAACCCCCAAAACCCACCCAAAATCAACCCAAATCACCCCAAATCCCCCCAAACCCACCCAAAATCACCCCAAAATCCCCAAAACCCACCTAAAATCAACCCAAAATCAACCAAATTACCACAAATCACCCCAAAATCAACCTAAATCATCCCCAAAACCCACCCAAAATCACCCCAAATCACTCCAAAATCCCCAAAAACCAACCAAAATCACCCCAAAACCCACCCAAAATCAACCCAAATCACCCCAAAACTCACCCAAATCAACCCAAAACCCACCCAAAACCAACCCAAATCACTCCAAAACCCCCAAAAACCAACCAAAATCACCCCAAAACCCACCCAAAATCAACCCAAATTACCACAAATCACCCAAAACCCACCCAAAACCAACCCAAATCACTCCAAAACCCCCAAAAACCAACCAAAATCACCCCAAAACTACCCCAAAATCAACCTAAATTACCACAAATCACCCAAAACCCACCCAAAATCAACCCAAATTACCACAAACCACCCCAAAACTCCCAAAATGACCCCAAATCCCCCAAAATGACCCCAAAACCCACCCAAAAACCCCCCAAAGTGGCAACAGGTAACACAGAGGGGGCAGAGAAAGGGGGTGACACCCAGGGGTGACAGGGGGTGACACTGGGGGGGTGACAGGAGGGGAGGGGACCCCCAGAGGGGGGTGACAAATGTCCCCAGGGGTCCCCAAATGTCCCCAGGGGTCCCCAAAATGTCCCCAGGTGCCACCTCAGGAGGGTCCCAGGTGAGACAACGACACCCAGGGGGTGACATCAGGGGGGTGACAGGAGGGGAGGTGACCCCGAGGGGGGGGTGACAAATGTCCCCAAATGTCCCCAGGTGTCCCCAAATGTCCCCAGGGGTCCCCAAATGTCCCCAAGTGCCACCTGGGGGGGTCTCAGGTGAGATTTAAGAAGAACCAGGGGTGACAACGACACCCAGGGGTGACATCAGGGGGGTGACAGGAGGGGAGGGGACCCCCAGGGGGGGGTGACAAATGTCCCCAGGGGTCCCCAAATGTCCCCAGGGGTCCCAAAATGTCCCCAGGGGTCCCCAAATGTCCCCAGGGGTCCCAAAATGTCCCCAGGGGTCCCCAAATGTCCCCAGGGGTCCCCAGGTGCCACCTGGAGGGATCAGAAGTGACACCTGAAAACAACCAGGGGGTGACAATGACACCCAGGGGTGACATCAGGGGGGTGACAGGAGGGGAGAGGACCCTGAGGGGGGGGTGCCAAATGTCCCCAGGTGTCCCCAAATGTCCCCAGGGGTCCCCAAATGTCCCCAGGGGTCCCCAAAATGTCCCCAAGTGCCACCTGGGGGGTCCCAGGTGAGACAACGACACCCAGGGGTGACAGGGGGTGACACTGGGGGGGTGACAGGAGGGGAGGTGACCCCCAGGGGGGGGTGACAAATGTCCCCAGGGGTCCCCAAATGTCCCCAGAGGTCCCCAGGTGTCCCCAAATGTCCCCAGGTGTCCCCAAATGGCCCCAGGGGTCCCCAGGTGCCACCTGGAGGGATCAGAAGTGACACCTGGAACAGCAACCAGGGGTGACAGGGGGTGACACTGGGGGTGACAGGAGGGAGGGGACCCCGAGGGGGTGACAAATGTCCCCAGGGGTCCCCAAATGTCCCCAGGTGTCCCCAGAGTGTCCCCAGGTGCCCCAAAATGTCCTCAGGTGCCACCTGGGGGGTCCCAGGTGAGACAATGACACCCAGAGGTGACAGGGGGTGACACTGGGGGTGACAGGAGGGGAGGGGACCCCCAGGGGGGTGACAAATGTCCCCAGGGGTCCCCAAATGTCCCCAGGTGGCCCCAAATGTCCCCAAATGTCCCCAGGGGTCCCCAGATGTCCCCAAATGTCCCCAGGTGCCACTCTGGAAGGATCCAGGCGTGACAAAAACACCCAGGGGTGACAGGGGGTGACACTGGGGGGGTGACAGGAGGGGAGGGGACCCCCGGGGGGGGGGACAAATGTCCCCAGGTGGTCCCCAAATGTCCCCAGGGGTCCCCAGATGTCCCCAAATGTCCTCAGGGGTCCCCAAATGGCCCCAGGTGCCACCTAAGGGGTCACAGATGAGACCTGACAGGAACCAGGGGTGACACCGGGGGGGTGACAGGAGGGGAGGGGACCCCCAGGGGGGGGTGACAAATGTCCCCAGAGGTCCCCAAATGTCCCCAGGGGTCCCCAAATGTCCCCAGGGGTCCCCAAATGTCCCCAAATGCCACCTGGGGGGGTCAGAAGTGACACCTGAAAAGAACCAGGGGGTAACAAGAACACCCAGAGGTGACATCAGGGGGGTGACAGGAGGGGAGAGGACCCCGAGGGGGGGGTGACAAATGTCCCCAGGTGTCCCCAAATGTCCCCAGGGGTCCCCAAATGTCCCCAGGGGTCCCCAAATGTCCCCAAATGTCCCCAGGTGCCACCTGGGGGGGGTCCCAGGTGAGACAATGACACCCAGGGGGTGACACTGGGGGGGTGACAGGAGGGGAGGGGACCCCCAGGGAGGGGTGACAAATGTCCCCAGGGGTCCCCAAATGTCCCCAGGGGTCCCCAAATGTCCCCAAATGTCCCCAGGAGCCCCCAAATGTCCCCAAGTGCCACCTGGGGGGGTCAGAAATGACACCTGAAAAGAACCAGGGGGTAACAAGAACACCCAGGGGTGACACCGGGAGGGTGACAGGAGGGGAGGGGACCCCCGGGGGGTGACAAATGTCCCCAGGGGTCCCCAAATGTCCCCAGGGGTCCCCAAATGTCCCCAGGGGTCCCCAAAATGTCCCCAGGTGCCACCTGGGGGGGGTCCCAGGTGAGACAACGACACCCAGGGGGTGACATCAGGGGGGTGACAGGAGGGGAGGTGACCCCCAGGGGGGGGTGACAAATGTCCCCAGGGGTCCCCAAATGTCCCCAGGTGTCCCCAAATGTCCCCAGGGGTCCCCAAATGTCCCCAGGAGTCCCCAAATGTCTCCAAAATGTCCCCAGGTGCCACCTAAGGGGTCACAGATGACACCTGACAGGAACCAGGGGGTGACACTGGGGGGGTGACAGGAGGGGAGGGGACCCCGAGGGGGGGGTGACAAATGTCCCCAGGGGTCCCCAAATGTCCCCAAGGGTCCCCAGGTGTCCCCAAATGTCCCCAGGTGTCCCCAAATGTCACCAG